AGCCCCAGCCCCAGCCCCAGCCCCAGCGCATCTTCCTGCCCAACCACATGCCCCACCAGCACTGCTCTATTCGGTCTCCATGGAAACCCTGGCCCTGCACTGTCACAGCTTCACTGCTCCTGGGTTCTCCATGGAAACCAGCTGCAGCAATGTGGGCAGGAGCTGCTGGGAAATGGAGTCTAGTCACTGGCCCGATCTACCATTTGGCCTATCCCTGTCATTAGATTATGTCAATTATCTAATAAATGTTAATCTAAATAAATGTTAGCGATAAATGTTATCTCTAACAATTATGACCCTTCCTACTAAAGCAGCTATTAGTATTTATGAAAACATTGTAAATTACTGATTATTGTGAGAACCCTTTGAGTAGGTGCTTCTCTGAAAATCTTCATCCCACATCTACAGATCACCAACTATTAATGAACAGGGGTTTCTAAATCCCTGGCTAAAAGCTGCATTTTTTATTGCAACATTGTATATTGGAACAAGGAATGTGTTTTTCCTTACATCTTTTTCACTTTTGAGCAAATCAGTGCTACACAATAAATAACAGTAAGACTAATAGCAGCTAGATAACTTAATCCTTTGTTTTCTGACAGCTAAGTGAACTAGCGTCATGTTTATATAGGCTGAGATGGATTTATCTAAACTGAATACAGTGCTCACAAGGAGGCATACCATAAATGTTTATCTACTGGGTTTATATGATATCAGTGCACACTTATGATGCCAAACTATGAATACTAAAAAGGTAAATATATGTCATAACACACTGTAGTCTCTTTAACTGCATAAAACATTCTGTAAAAGTTTTTTTTTCTTCTTTTCCCTCCCATTATATTTCCCTCTCTTCCCATTCCTTCCTTCCTCTGTAAACCCTTTAGAAGATTCCCCAGTTTTAGAAAGTGTGCTCTAGGCAGTAGCTAAACTGAAGAGGAGCAATCAGGACAGCAGCCCCAGGAAGGGTGCCAAATTAGCTAGCGCTACAGCTGTGGGTGGCCACACCACTGACCACCAGCAGTGCAGCCAGCACTGTTCCATGCACTGCCACTGCCCATAGTATCTGTTGTTCTGGGTACTGTGCCAAAATATCTGAAAACAAGTCCCTTGTCCTGAAGAATTTAGACTGCAAGATAAGCCTTACGCAAATGATAGATTAGTTCACTCACTCACTCACTTTAACAGTACATATATGTATGTACACCCACATTTCTAACTTTTTTCCCTGATAATAAATATATAAACTAAATGATAGCCATCCCTTTTGCCTCTTCAGACCACTTTAAGTTAATTCGTAGCTTATTGGTGCAGTGTAAAGGTGGCTTTCAAGATCAGATGTGAAGAAGATAGGATAATGTCCTTATAGGCCACTGAAGAGTAAGAAGAGGTAGCCTCCTCCAAATTCCAGTCCAAGGCAAGGCAAAGCAAGACAAAAGTCCAAGGCAAGACAAGGAGTTTTATATTGACACCTTCTGAGACATTTGAGAAGAGATCTACCAACAGGCACATGTGTGACATAAAGCTGGAACACATCATTCCAAGGTGGTTACCTAAATTGAGTAGGAACATTAAGGTTTACCAAATGCATGAATCAAAGCCAACATATGTATACCCTCATCTATACCTGTGTGCATTCTAGACATAGAAAGGTGGATTTTATGTAAGTTTGCACACACACTTATACTCTGCTAAAGCTGCATTTATATCCAGGAGGGGAATATATATTCCCCTCTTTACCATTTTAGACTTAGACCATTTAGCCACTCTTGTGTGAGGCACCACTTTTGATTGCATTTCTACTAATTAATTTTCCTGCCATTTATGTTTCTATCAGTTACCATAGGCCTTTTCATGACTAGAGGTTCTGCACCTTTCTGAAATATACCATCTACAATTTCAGTTTTCCCCACTAAAATAATAGTCATACTTTCTGAAAATGAATTTGTGATTTTTAGTTTTTTTTCTATCAGTTACTTTGCTTTACTTGTTTACTACTTTTCTTATAATCTTGTGCCTCTGTGTCACATCTCTATTTTCTTTTGTTACTGTGGGCATACATCAAGATGCCTAAGCCTTACTAGGTCTTACTACTTCCTGTGATTCTTATGTTAAAGTTTTTATTGCGATTTAGTGCAATTAAGTAAACTCTTACCTATTAGCTCCCTAATTATGAGTTATAATATATACTGTGAAAATCCCTAAATCTATCTGAATACTATAAAAAGAAAGTAGAAGATTCATGGCAGCTTATGAGGAAGGCTGAATTTTGGAGCCAAAACTATGCAAAAAAAGTTCCAAATAAGCTTAAAAGCAAGAAGACATTTTTTCCCTCTGACTCATGATCTTTGGGTATTTGGTTAGTTATCTATAACATTTGAGTCAGCAATCCTGCTTCAGTATTGTTTTATAGGATGTACAGTTTTCTAAAGTTTTTAAAGGGACCATGTATGATGATCTTACTGTCCTTGGCTAAGCCACAGTTTACATGCAAAAGGTAATAAAAGCTTATTAGGAAACTTGTCCCATTCTCAAATGCAGTTACTCCATTCTTTTTATTTATTTATTTTTTTTAGTTAGTGTTCCCGCCAGCAGCATAAAAATAGAGAGAAAAAAAAATCATGACTAGGGAAATGTTGTGATATTCACACGCTAATTGTAAATTCACTTGTACAAAACTTTGCATGCATGTATTATCTTTAATCTGAGGATTTCAAAGTGTTATCTTAGTATTTTACCTCAATGTTACCTATGGGAAAACTGACTGAATAAGTGATCTTGTAACATGGTCATTGTGCAGGAATGGTGGAACCAAAACCAGACCATATGTCTCTCAAACTTCTTCTAAGATAAAATATTTTCATGTCTAAACTAAGATCAGTGAAATTCAAGCATCAATATAATGGTTATCATGACAATGCAGGATATGGAAATACATATCATCACATGTTGACAAAATTTGTGCTAGTAGTATCTTGATTTTTTCACAAACTGGAAGCCTGATCATCCTCTCATCTAGGATCTGATCTTGTGCTATTGGTAGCATTATTTGGTATTGACTAAGAGCAGTGCCAGAGCCCTATCTTACACTATTCCTATACAAGTCTAACTCCACTAACTTTTTCTTTTTGGTTTCCACTTGTCTGATAGCAGAATCAGGCATTGTGTCTTGCATATGGCTGTAGTTTCCTTAAAAAATTCATTCCATGTAGGGTTTTTTTTAATTAAAACTTAAAAGCAAATAATAGCACAGATGCACAAAGCATTCTCTAATATTCTCCAGGGGATGATGACTAGATGCACTGTCCTGTTCATAGATTCCATTCTAAATAAAGTCCTAAATTGACCTTCAGAAACAACATTAATTCTCTCTAACCTAATTTCTTTTGGTATGACCCCCAAGAAAGGGGTATGCGGTATTATGCCAAAGTGTCCTCAATTTGCCTGTCTGATGAAATTCTTCTCTTTGGGAAAGTTGTAGTGCATTACTTAAATGTAAATATTAAAATATGCACCCAACTTTAAAATCTTACTATTG